TATATATATATATAATTCCTTACTTAACAGTATCTTAAAAATGTTGATTTTTATTTATGATTATAAGAATTTTTTTCATAAAAAGAAATCTTACATCAAGTTAGCAACATTTATTGCATGATGAAATTAACTCTTTTTTTTTTTAATAATTTAATTCATATATAAAACTCAAATTTAAGATTTCATTTGAGAGAAATTAGAAAATATAATTAAACTAATCACGTATGAACTATTAAGGTAGATTTAATGATCGAGAATTGTGATAAATCTACCAAGAAATAATTTTATAGTCATGTGATGTTTTTTAATAAATAAAAAAAAATCAAACATGTATCGGTAATTCATTTTAGTGATTTTATTTTAACGTCATTAATATCATTGATTAAAATTGAAGTTAAACCAAAATAAAGGTATTTTTTTATTGAAAATAAAAAAAGAAATATTTTTATACATTTTAGTAATAATTTTTTTGAATAAAACCTTTTTATTTTTATTCTTAACTTTCAAGAATAACATTATATATACTTTTCCTTATATCAACAAAGAGTTAGATTTGAATTGAATTGGGGTGACCTTCTCTTTTGGGATGCTCACCTGTACTTGAAATTTCAACCCCAAAAACATGGAATTGTAAATGTAAAGAGATATTTTTTTATTTTGTTTAATTGGGTCAATAATTAAACCCAATCAGAAAAGTCAGAAACTAGGAAGTTTTAGGAGCTACTTAATTTTTTTTATTATTGTTATGAGTAAACTATGAGAAAATTTCGATCGGGTTAAACTTGTGGTTCACGGAGATAGCAACTTTGACTATTGTACCACATTTGAAAATTATTGAATGGGTCATGTTCTTACATTAGCAATTTGTAAAGTGAACGGAATTTATAGGTATAAGACAATCAGCTGTCTTTCATCTGTTAGAGGAAGTTACATAAATATTATTTTGTATTTAATATAAGTGTTTTTGTATAAGATATATTTTTCGGATTCTTTCAATTTCACTAAAAATTTCTATACAAGCTCATTTAATTTTATAAATATAATTATTTTTAATTTCTTTGAACATTAAATTTGAATCTTAATCTTAAATGTGAAATAGATTATATTAAAAGATAAATATTCATCTTATGTATATTAACAATTTTTATAAAAATTAATTATTACTTTTAAGGATAGATACAACGATATCGTGATTAATAAAACAAAACATAATAGTCATAATATTTTCCAAATTAAAGCAAGTCCAAGAGTGTTTGAAAAACTTATTTATGCAATAATACAATAATAGTAGTTATCTTCTTCCCCCCAAAATCCAAGGAATTGGAAGGGATATAAGGAAGTTGGAAAAAGTAGGTTGACAAAAAAAAATGATTAGGGTCAAAAAGGAAGAAGTTAGGACACCCACTATGGAAAATTTGACTTCACCCTCCAATCTCCATGCATTAGTGATACTTTCTTTCATCCTTCCAAACAAACAAACAAACCATTAACGATGGATCCGACGTGACTTTTGGTCCAAATAATTCACGTCAATTTGGGGATCATGACAAAGAGATGTGAATGTAGTCGGTCATACGTTTATTAATATGAACTCAGATTTTTATTTGTGTTGAATGATATCAACCAACATCAATTACTTATTGTATTTGGTCTTTAATTTTTTATTTCTATTATGAAATATTTTACTTTTGATTTATTAATTTAAAAATTGATATAATGTTATTCTTATCATCTAATTAAATTAAGATTTTTAACTTTGTAATTTTTGATGGTTTTAATTTATATATAATTATTAATTAGTGTTTTAGTATGTCTATTGCACATGTTAAATGTTCATTATATATAAATAAAATGTATAATAAATTATACATATAATAAATAAATATATATTTTCATTATATAAATTATATTAATTTAAAATTTATGTAAATTGTATCATTGCGTGAAAGGTTTAGTTCTCTTTTTTAGAGGTTGATGTATGTGAAGGATGGCTTTTGAGTAAGGATAATTTCAAGAAGCTAAAATTTATATTCATCTCCTTCTCTTCTTGTAGACTCACTGGTGCATTAAGCTTGGGTGTTGGTGGCTGGTGGTTTCTTCCAACATTGGAGCTTGGTTTCAGTGTGGTGGTGTGGAGCTTAGGAGAGTCAAAACTCCAAATTGTTTCTTCTTCCCTCTCCTTCTTTTCTTCGTTCGGGTGGCTGGAGTGTTGGGATCACATTAATTATTAGAAATAAAATTTCTAACATGGAGTTCTAGATAAGGGAAGTTAGAATGTCTATGTTTGGGGTTGGTTGGTGGATTGCAAGCTTTATTTTGAAATCTAACATGTTGTTCTGAAATCAAACATGTGTTGACTAGTGAATTTCTCTAAATTCATGTGGGGGGTGGGACATTGGGTGTCTTGACCGATGGTCGGGCGTGAATTTTGCCACACCAGGCATGAGGTCTCATAGGGGTCTCCACCTTGATCATGTTATATGCAATTTGGATGGCACCAGGCGTAAGCGAGGTAGAGAACTCCCTACCTAGATGGCATTGGGTGTGAGGTATCTTGCGTTGGACGTAGGATGCCTAATAGAGACACATTACAAAGAAACACTCATTATGAATTTTGTATATACTTTTTTATAGAGTATATTTACTTTCATTTTTTGGTTACAACACATCTAAAAGAGACGAAACAACCTCATAATCTTCTATAACCTTTGTTATAAGGGTTGAGCTTGGTGAGACTTGTTTGAAAAATAATATTTGGTACTAAGCCTGAGTAGGCTTATTGTTCAAAGAATATTTGAATAGTTGTTTGAAGAGGTAAGTCAAAGAATACTTAGGTAATTTCATCTATCTCTTCTTCAACCCTTCACTTGTTAAGTTCTTTTCTCTTTGTTGCTCAAACATGTGAGTTTTTGAAACATTATTCAATTCCCTTCTAGTGTGTGTCTTTTCTCCACAAACGTTTTGTTCTTTCAAGAATGATTTATTAATTTTAAATATTTTAGGGACTAAGTTGATAACAAGTGATACTTTTGAGAACTAAAATAGTGTTTTAACCTTGTTTTTTTGCTAAAATACAAATTTTGTTATAATTTTAAAATTTTAAAAATAATTTTTTACTATTGATCTCTTAAAACCACCATTATATATAAATCAAAATCTTTGAAAATTACAAAACTAATAGCACTAATTTAATTGGAAAAAAAATAACATTATATCAATTTTTTAAATTAAGGGAGAAAATTAAAGCATTTAATAAGAGGAATCGAATTGAATTAAATAAATAAATAAAAGAAAAAAAAAATTAAGTCTATAAACTATACTTGAAGAAATGTTTAGCATTGAATCTAATCATATTTAACATACTTAATTATAATTAATGAAATATTAATTCCTGGTATTAATGTTCTTTATAACGTAATTAATTTCAACAATCTTAAGTAAATACTATATATTTAAAATTATAAAAACGATATAGAAAAGTTGCTTTTAACGGAGTGATATAGAAAAGTTATATATACAATAATTAATATATATATATATA